AAAAATAAAAAACAAAATTTGGAAAAAATTTAAAACAAACTCACTTCCTGCAAATAAAAAATTGTTGTTTTGGCTTGTAAATAAAACACAACGTTATTGTTGTTTATACTTACAGCAAATTTCGCACATCGAACGGTCGTAACAGGAATGCCGGTATAAGGATCAGCGAATTGAATGATACAATGCCGTAGTAGATGAAAAATTTCAGATAGTAACGAAACATATGGCTGTTTTCGTAGAAGAACGGAAAGGGAAGCATCAAGAGCAGGAACAAAACAAACAACTCCACGTAAGAGGTCATGGCGAAAATGCGACGAACGGTTCACGGGTTAAGACGTAGCAGCTTGTTTACGTAGATGATGGCCTGTTATAAACTGCGACAGTTACGTTACGTGTGTTATATTTATTATTTATTTTAATTATTTGTGCACTTAGACGTTCAACGTTGTGTAAATCATTTGTTTTGAAGTGAATTGCAAATATTTTGCACTTTTTGAAACAAATAACTTTTTAATGCAGGTTTGTGCGCTACAAACTATTTGTGTTTACTTTTTTTCAACTTGTGCTTTCACTTAATGCGTTATATTTCACTTTAACTAACATTATTTTTTTGTTTATTTTTCACTATTTTTATATTTTACGCTTTGACAATGTAATTTCGTTGTGTTTTAAGTAAATTGTGCATAACAGTTGTAAATAAACACAGGCATAAGTACGTTTGAGGACCAAGTGAAAAATTGGTAATGTCGATTTGTGCTTTATCTCAGTTCGTTGTGGTTATTGCAAGCTTTTGATTGTTATTTAAACATTGTTGCATTTTTTTTATAAGAATTGTGGTTTTTAGTCTGCTCTCAGACTTGCACTTCCCCTTACTCTTACTCTTTTGGAACCACTTTACTGCTCTACACACATTTTATCGATTTTTATACAACTCTCTCATATTTGTATAGTTGTTGCATATGCAGTTGAGTATATACATACATATGTATAGCCCACAAAAAAAAATTATTACTGAAAAATATTAATATCAATTTTAAGAGAATTTACTGCTATAAAGTCGCTTGAGGCTTTTTATATAGGAAAAAGTGTGTGTGAATGCCATCCCATTGCCTTGGAATTAATTATGTACGTAGGTGTGCGGTTATGACTTTACCCAGCTAATTTGAAATGAACTATGTATAAGTATTTGGCGCTCACTATGTCAAAAATAGGTGGTCCAATGAGATGTCGAAAGTTAAAGTTGCTCTATATTATCTAGTCGTGAGGAGGCAGGCAATGGGATGGTTATTAAAATAGCAAGGGAAACAATGAAGTCAGCAGTTGATGGTTGTTTGATATAGTGGCCGCAGCAGCGCTGACCACCAGACGATCATTAGGACCCTTGTGCTTCCGTGTAATAAACAATTAAGACTAATCCAGCAATTCAGTGAATTTGGTAAGAAACCTGATATTTTTCAACCCAACTACCCAATGTGCTCTAAGTTGAGGTTTAGGTTTATATAGTTAATAGACCCAATGGCTAATGGAAGAGGAGCCAGAATCGATTGCTCGTAGGTGGATCGCAGTTGACGGTAAAAGCTTCCAGAATACTGCAGTATCTTCCATTAGAAGAATATAACTACTACAAAGCATAACTAGTAAATCTAACACAATGTATATGCAAGTACGTACAATCTGTAGTATAACGGAAATGATGCAAGGTAGATCGAATTTTTATAATTTCACCATTTTAATTGTTTGTGGTACGTGATTTTTACAAAAATGCTCTTGACATTTTTTTTTTTTCCACACCCTCGTGTATAACGTAACTAATTTGTTTTCATATTGACTTGCTTAGCACACGACTGTCATTTATTAACATATGCATACATAACCGAAAGTGCTACTTACATTGCTACAACTGCCTTTCTAGAGCGAAAATTATAATTCAATTGTGGTGGAGAGCGTTAATAAATAATACTATGGAAGCTTCAAAGCAAAGCGGTAAATTATGTAGACAATTTTAAAAAATACACAACATATGTGTGTATGCAATATCGAAATGCTGTTGCATTAAAAAAGAAAACAAACTCACACCAGCATAAAGCAATTATCGACAATGGAGGAGCGCAACCAAAAAGGAAACGAGCGGCTAGAGGCCGATGGTGGCGTTAGAAGGGATGCACATTAAGAATATACATATGGCGGTTGCAACGTAAAGGGGACAAAGTTAAAAGCGGAAAATTGTAGCAAAACAATAAATGCCGTCAAATGGGAGGGTGCAGAATCGCACATCGCAGCACAAACACAGACATATTTATACATGTAATGGTTGCAAACACAACAAAAATAAATTAGGTACACTATTCACTTTAGCTTTTTTCAATTGTACACACTTATGTACATACTAATGTATGCAAATATACATACACAAATATTTAAGTAACAAATAGTTGGAAAATTGACATACACTTTTCCGCTGCGACAATTGTTTTGTGTTTATTTAGTTGGTATTTTTTGAAAGCCGGCTTGTTTTCATTGCACTTTCCAGCGCTTTTTTAACACACACACATAAGCATACGCAACAGCTGCATCGATTTTTCGCGCAGCTCAATTTTCAATTTACACATAAGAGCGTAGTATATTTCTGGTAAGCAGTGTATGTATATATTAACGTTGCACTAAAATATTATACATTTTTCGCTTGTACTCAAATAAATTAAGTTATTTATAACCAGCTATCTAGAAAATTACAAAAATTACTGCACACCTAAACAGCACTTTAAAAACACAGCTGCTAAATTACTACTGTCGCTTCCGACTGTTTGCGTTCGACTGATTAGCGCACGAATGCGTTCCACATGTGGTGTTGCCATTTTATTGTCTATACTATTAATTGTTGTTCAATATTTATTTATTTAATTTAACGCGTTCTGTCTTTAGCATTACTGTTTTTAAATACACCTAAATTTGTATAACTATTGTGATAACTGCAATAATTTATTTATTATTTTATTTTAAAAAGATATATTCAAATATTAGCATGCACAATGCATGCTTAAATGCAACTCTGTGTTGGCAAAGCTATTTCCTGCTGGCTGCTTTTCGAAATGCTACCGGATATCCTTAATACTCTTTTAAAGTAACAAGTTTAAATATAAATATAAGTACGCATAACTTGAAACTAACTGAAAAGTTAACTAAAAGATACCTACAAGTATTCGTTCCTTTAAACTTTGATATGGCATGAACAATTTTTTATTTTATAAAAACACAATAAATTTTCTATGTACATAAATAAATATATACGAAGAATTTGATTAATTTATTATTTTTATTATATAAATGCGCCATAAACTCTAATTTCGTAATTTTGTTAAGTACGTATAAAGTACCAATTACTTACATTCTCTTAATCGATAACAGCAATCAATCGAGTTTTCAATGTGCTTGCCCTACCCACACCATCACTGTCGTTTGAATTTTGTGGAAGTGTTTTATGTGTCGAAAGTGTTTTCCGGGAAATGGCATATTTAAACGTATTGCTTATACAAAATAATATTAACAAAAGTGTGTGCAAGTGTTTGGAAATAAAGTGTGCTTATGTATAACTGCAATGGATTGATTTGTAACATGAAAGTGCAAACTCATGCAAGTGTCCCCGGCGCAAATCATGTTATAACCTGCAATTTTTACAGTTACTTTTTGTTCGTGCTGCGCAAGGGATAACAGGTGAGTGCATGTCATGGCATTTTGAAATTTATGAACGGTGTGTGTGTACTGAAAATGAATATTTCAAATGTACACATGTACATACATACATATAATTATACATATGTATGTACATATAAATCAGAGTGTTGGCGTTAGTCATGCAAAACCACAAATCATTTTTAAATAAAAGACGCGCATGTGTAATTTTCTTATGTATTTTATTAAATAAATGTTTGCAAATACAATACAATTTCCATACATATATTATACTGTTCCTTTGTAAAGATACAAGTAGTTTTTGCTTGCAATGCTGTAAGTGTTTTTAAATATATGCTCATATTGTGGTTAATATAGTTTTGCTGCAGACATTTAGACACAAAATCTAATTACAATTAAGATCTTTGCTATGTTTTTGACAATTGTTAACGACACCTTTAATTTTGTTATTGCGCTTTGCTGAAAAACAATGAGCCATAATACGTGTAATGATAATTTTTAATTTTTTTAAGAATGTTATGCTGCTTGGTATGTTTTGAATTAGAGTTTAGTTACTATACATATATGTATGTATGTTTTTTTGCTATGTTTTCATTAATATTGTTTGATTTTCACGGGAGACATATGACTTAGTGAATATGCGGCTAGTTTATTTTCAGTATAGTTGACTAAATATGCAATAATATTTTGCTGTTTGTTAATAGTTAATATATTTGTATATGAATGATTCAGTACAGTTTGGCATTTTAGTAAATACTTTTACCTTTTTTGATTTTTATTGTTATATATTGTTTATTAAATCTGCTGTATTGGCGTTTCAGTTGCTTCGTTGACACCTGCAAATTATTTTGATATATTTTTAGTTTTTTATATACATATGTATATGCCTGGCTTTTTATTTTGCTATAGGTTTGGCTATTTTGTTTTGCTATTTTAAACTTCTTGTTACTGGTTCGTGCATGCTTTGAAATACAGCTATATTTTTACTATTTGTAAAATACAGTTTCGATTCCACAGTTATTGAGTTGTTTATGAGTTTCTAATAGCATTTTTTTTATTATTTAAGTAAAGCGAAACTACGAATTTGTCTACTGTTTTGCGAGAACAGTGTAATAATAAGTGTATTTTTTCAATTTGGCTGCTTTTAAAGGATCTATGTGCACATACATAAATATATGAATATGTAGTTTTTTACTAATGCGATAGTTCAAAATTAGTTCGCTCGCATGTATTTGGACGTAGAAATTTTATAGTTAATCTTCAGTATGTTTCAGTAATTTTATTGTTTAGCAATTTTTACTGCATAGTTAGATTCTTGTTGCTGCCTTGTAGAAATGGCAAATTTGGATGGAGTTAAGTTTGCCCGTGTATATATTTTCAAACTAGCTGCGTTTTCTACTACATAATAGCTAATAGGAATACAAAGTAAAAAGTTTGTTGTTTTTGTTTCAATAGCAACTTAATGTTATACCTCTTTTTACATTTAGCGCAAACGAAATAAATACATGAAATATATTTTTTCTCAATTTTTATAAATTTTTGTTGCATATTTGCTTTTTGACATAAATATTTGTCAAATACATACATATAAATGTAGTTGTCTCTTTTGTATATGTATATAGTTTCATGTAAATAACACTATAAATGCAGCTCAATGACATTTATTGTTGGGTTTGTTTGGTTTAGGTGTACCTTTAGTATTTTATATAGTATTAGTATTTTTGTTTTGTTTTGTTTTCTCGTAAATAGTTACCCACTGTATAATTCTTTGTTTTACCATATCAATTTTATTTAATACATATGACCTTGAGGTAGTTAATTTATTTCATTCTCATTTACTTTTTTTTAAGTCTATATTATGTTTTTCGACGTTACACACATTTATATTATTTAGCATAATTCTGTTCAATTTGTTTTTTTATGTTTTTTTTTGCATTTCTTCAATTAAATCTTCTTTTTAGCATTTTTTTGATAAACAGAAAATTTCTCACTTTTAATTGTAATTTGTTTTCTTATTTCTATTTATGCTTATATCATGCTTTATTATAATAGTTTTTTATTATTTTTCGCTATTTGTTTTGTTTACGCTCTATTTGGTTAACGAGTACCAACTAGTACGCTAGTACGCTTATCGATAACGGCATGTCATCAATACTACTGTTTGGCATGACATCACTGACATTTAAATTCTGTGCTGCAGTTGTTAGAAGTGGTTGTTGTGTCAAAAAGTCATGTTTATCCGGAAATAACTGAAATAAACGTATTGTGTATTCAAAATAATAATAACTGAAATGTGTGCAAGTGTTTTCAACTATAGTGCTGTTGTGTTTATCATCAACGCGACAGCAATTAATGCATAGCATAAAGGTGTGAATTGTGTAATGTGTGCTTTGGCTCACAGCCTGTAATTGTTGCTGCATAAAAGAATACAAGTGAGTGCATTTGCTGGTTTTATTACATACAAACACTGAAGTGGATGAGTAAAACCTTAATAATTTCTTTTTTCTGCAAATTGTACATTTCGCGTGTGCAATACAACGCATTTTTCATAACCAAAATGGCTGCTGATGCAAACTGTTGTTGTTAACTGTTCGGTTTACAGAAATATTGTAATACGGCGGTTGCACTGCTGTTATTATTTGTTTTGATCGATATTATTGTTTGACAAATAAAATAAGTTTTATGTAAACGTGTGTGTAAATGAAATTAATTTAATAATAATATAAGTACATATGTGTGCACAGCAATAAATAAAAAAAAAACACTTTATTTTTGCTAACAAAAAGAATACTAACCATTTAAATCCAGTAATAAATGCAATAGTAAATAAATAATACTTGCCTCCATAAAAAATCAGTATTCAAAACGTTAAAATTGCAATAAAAAATAAATAATACTTGCCTTCATAAAAAATCAGTAATCATTTTTCATAAATCAGTGAAATAAATATTAAAATAAAAAGTCAGAGTTTTTCGTTTTTTTCTTATATTTTTTTTAGCCACAAAAAATATATAAGATTTTTACACAAAAACAAATCTTTTAATTCTGTAGTTTTTTGTGTTTTACGATTTTTTTTTGTATTTTTTTTAAATATTTTTGCATTTAAATAGCATTACTTAATTAGCGTAAATTTAGTTTTCAACGTTTCTTTTGTATTATAATCTTCATAAAAAATAAAAATAATAATCATAATATATTAATTCTTTTCATAATCATACATTTTAGTCCCCCACTACAATTGCATTTAATACAATTTACAACTACTTTACTTTCAATTACATTGTACGTTGCTTAATAATTTTAACTTTTCCGACTCACAAATAGTTTTCGCACAAAACAATAAAAAAAAACATTTTAGAGCAATAAGTCATATATATTAAATTGTTTACGCTACATTTTTGCATTTCGTAGTTTTGTTAAAAAAAAAAATAAAATAAAACAATTTTAAAAAGCAAACACTTAATAGCAATAAAAAGTAAAATATAGCTAATTTTTTTATGAAGAAAAGAAAATGCGCAAGTATTGTTTATAAATACAAATGAAAAACCAAATATTTTATTTCATACATAAGTTATCATGGATGCTTATGCTTCGGATAAGTAAATAAAAAAAAAACTTGGTAATATTTATTTTATAATAGTAAGTAAAGTATATAGTAAATAAGCTTTATTTATTATTATTAAAAAAAAGTATATATATAAACATAATATTATATAATATAAACTTGATATATTTTCAATTAAAATTAATGCAGCGCGTTGTAGGCATGCGCACACCCGCAAACGGCTTTAATTATAAACTACTATCACACAGAGAAACCGTTAGCCGGCACTACGTCGCCATACAACGCGCCGGTGGAGTTGTGTAAAACCGAAACTTTAACAAGGCACGCATGCCAAGTTGCAGCGACAAACGCCAGTTGTTCGTATACGTTGCAAACTCTTGCAAGCTAATGTAAATACACGAATATACGAACGCATGCGCGTTGCCCACGAACACAAATGTGTGTGTATGTATGTATGTATGTGCAATTTGTACAACATTACTTATGAGTTTTGATTTTAACCAGCTCCACTTCCACCCACAGCTTTA